CCCATCCTGTTATCTTTAGACTCTCTTCCTGGTGACTTCTGCAGGCCAAAAGTTCCTTTTTTTTTTGGTTTGTTTTTGGTACCAGAAATTGAGTTCAGGACTTGAACGTGCCAGGCAGGCGCTTGTGCCATTGAGCTATATCCTTGGCAAAGTTCCTATTTGTAATGCAATCGAATTTATCAACGTTTTCCTTTATCATTAATATTTTTGGTGACTTTTTCTTTTCTGAACAAAACTCCAAGGTCAAGAGCATATTAATCTATACTATCTAATAAAAATTTTATCTATTTGGAATTAACTGTCTATTATGTGAGGTAGAGATCAGGTTACATGTTTTAAAAGCAAGGACTTTCAATCATTACAGTATCACTCATTAAACAGAGCACACTTTTGAGTGCTTTATGGTGCCTTGTTTTCTATAGATGCACAGACAAGTGTGTGAAGCAACCACATACAGGTGAACAGAACTATGTGTGTATTCAGTCATGTTTCATTCTTACTTTCCTGTACTTATTCTTGAGTAATGCATCATCTAATTACTGTAGATTTTTTAAAAAATACTTTTATTTTTAAGCAATTGTATATATCTATGGGATCCAATGGGAGTTTCAAGACAGTATAAAATGTGTAACATACAATCAGGGTACCTAGCATAGCTGTTCTTCTTTGTGCTGAGAACATTCAAAACTTTCTCTGTTAGCTACTGTGAAGCATTCATTAGCTATTGCCAATCACAGTCATCCAACTGTGCTATCCCTCCTATCTGGCTGTACCCCAGGCCTAGTATCCACCCATGCTCTAGCTCTGTAACAAGTGGTGCTGCCTAGTAGGCCAATCTACCCATATCATTCTTTTCTGGCAGTATGTATGCCACTATTAACGTTTTGAAATTTCATATTTTCATTTTAGAATCTGCACTTCAACTTCCATAACCAACATGTTCAATCTTTGAGTGAGGTTTCACTGAATCTGCAAATAAGTTCAGAGAGAACAGAACAAGAGCCCTATGGCAAATTTTTCAAACAATAAACATGACAGATTCACACGTGAGTATTCACTATTTTGATGTTATGAATATAATTAACTTTTATGTATTGTCCTTGTGTCTTGCAACCTTGTTAAAGTTGTTAGTATTGATGTGGCTATAAATGATATTGAATCTCCTATGTACAATTCATGTCACCTGCTAATAAAGACTATTTCATTTTCTCTAAAAACTTACAACTTCTTTTCTTCACTAGTTAGAATTTCAATTTTGGGCAGAAATATTGTTATCAGGCATTTTCTTTTATTTTCAATTTCATTATAGTGACCATGAATTTTATATATTTTAATTTTACATATTTAGATTCAATTTGTTAGAATTCCTAAACAGAATTTTAGCAGAAAGAATCATGTAATATGTACTAAGCATAATTTATCATATCAAAGCTAGATATATTCAAGATATTCAAATTTGGTTTAACACTGGAAAATTAAACATAGTTTATCATATTAACAGAAGAAAAGACTAACATCATTTTAAAAAATGAAGTAAAAGCATTTAGTGAGTTCATCAAGTTATGGTAAGATTCATAGGAAACCAGGAATATAATATATTTCCTTAAGTAACAAATTGAATCTAACTATATAAAATTGAAATTAAATATATTATTAATTTTTTTGGTACTGGAAATCAAACTCAGGTCCTGGCACTTGCTAGGGCAGGTGCTGTGCCACTGAGCTTTATCTCTGGCTCCTAAATTATTTAAAATTGAAACATATATAAAATTCATCTGGTACTGCCTTCATCTCAATTTACAATTTGAAATAATGGAAGTGATGTGATTTTGGGCTTCAAACCAACTTCATGATTGGATTATAATTTCTACACTGCATCAAGTCCACGAGGGTGGATGAGAATGTTCACAATTATGTGAGGGAGTAGGCCATTGTGGCATTATCTTTAGGCAGAGAAAATATGAATTAGAACTCAGACCTCAGCAGCCCTTGGACTTTAAGTGAGGTTTTTTTACTTTTGCCCCTTTGTCTTGCAAAGCTTCAATACATAAGCCAGAGTGGAGCAAACATTCTTGGAGTGTTTGTTCACTTAGAAGCACAACTTTTTAAATCCCTTTTTTGGTGGTAGAGCAATTTTTTTTTTCTTGTCAATGCTTTTTAAAAAATCTACCTCTCCTGCAGCATTTTCAGATGTTCCGTTGGGAGAGGCGATGCAACTCTACAAGAATCAACACAATCTCTCTAAGCAGAAAAGATTTTAAACAGCAGGAACACATGCAAGAGAGCTTACAACCTTTTTGTTTCTGAGCAAAGACCACTCAAAAAGTCAGAAGTGACCTGAGACACAAGGCTGCCCCTTTCCTGATCCCTTCTAACACAAGCGGGTTTTTGTGCACCACAAATTTAACTCATGAGGTCTAACACAGTTAAATATGTCAAATGAATAGTAGATAGTGTCAGTTTTTGGCCCACACTAAGAGGAAAGAGACATCAAGATTCATCTTTCACTATTCTTCATAAGAGCTGCACAAGACCCACCCCTCCAGCCCTAGTCATGGCTGTGCTACCTTCAAATCCCTCACTGGGCACTTGGCTTAGGGGCTAATGATTTTGTTACTCCAGGCAGTTTGCCAAACAAAAAGGAATGGCTATTTACAATTACCAGACTGAAATCATAAATACTACCAGCTGAATTACACTGACATGTCAATACACTTGATAGAAGTCTTTACAGAGTGAATGTGTGTTGGCCAGGTAAAAAGGATTTGAGTTATAAAAGTAGCAAAAGTATCTTATTGCGGGAAAGTTTAAATTCTTAGGTGGTCCAGTAGTATACTCTGAGGACAGCTTTAAAGGAAGATTCCTGACACAGTACATTTAGATCAGGAGCCAGACTACATTTTCCTCCCTAAAATTATAGTGGAATCAGTGCTATTCCAGTAAATTGCCCCTTTGTGAATAAAATAACCACATGTAGATGTTAGTACTGAATACCTTTCTTATAGAGTTTGCTTTTCTTTAAAAATTCTGTGAATAATTCAATCTAAAACAATATTCTTAAGATTACAAGCATATTCTGGCATTTTAAAGCAACTACGTTTTAATTCCAAGGTTATCCTTTTACATTTTGCAAAAACAATCAATATACCAATTCAGAAAAAATATTAGAGATTCTTCCTTGGCACATCAAACTTCACAATATTCCATCTAGTATGTAACTACCTAACAGTATAGTTTATGAATTCTGGGACACCCAGAGAGAACAGACTCAACCTGGCTCTGCCACAATGCTCCTTCCTGTCCCTACAGAGGACTACAGAGTCAGACATTGGCAGCACCTGGGCACTATGTTAGAGCTTGCCTGGGCCCCAAGCCAATCCACCCTGAAGTGCATGCTCTAGTTAAGCAGCAGTGTTGATACTGTGAGCACTGACAGCAGAGGTAGCATCACTGGGTGTCAAAGATGCACCAGAACCTCTGGAGCAACCTGAGACCACTCAGCTAGAACCTCAGGGCAGGCCCAGAGACCTGAGTCTAGCAAGTCCACTGGGTGATTATGATGTCTGACTGTAGTATTAACATAACAAAGAGCAGGGGATTTAGCTCAGTGGTATAAGGGATGGATTGTAAATTCCATCCCTGGTACCAAAATAAATAAATACTTGAGTTTTAAAAAACACAATGAAAGGGGCTGGGGATTTAGCTTAGCGGCATAAGCGCCTGCCTTGCAAGCAGGCAGTTGTGAGTTCCGTCCCTGGTACTGATAAAAAGGAAAAAGACCAAAAAAACCAAAACCAAAACCAAAAAAAAAACCACAATGAAGTATTTACAATACAACAGAGAAAAATAAATGAAAGAAAACTGTATTTTTCAAATGTTAATTTAAAAAATTACTATAATTCTGACTGAAAAAAATCATGGAAGTCTATGATATATTTCATGAAGGTGAAAAATGAACAAAACTAAATAGTACATTATATTAAATATATTTGTATGATAAAATAATAAATTCATTGTTTTAAAATAAGGAAATGATACAATTTTAATTCTGTAAAGAGTTTATCTCAGAGGAGGGCAAAAAAGGGTGAAGAAAAGTCACATAGGAACTAGCACTGTATTGGCAACAGCTAAACTCTTAAATTGGGCAGAGAGTTCAAGGGTGTTCACTGTATTTGTGCTATTTTTATTGTATACTTTTCCATGTATCAATTTTCCATAATAAATTTTAAACAAATGTAGCTAATAAAAGATAGCTAGTACCTTAAACAGAAAACACCTAAATATTATAATTTAAGTTTTGATGTTTTGATTTAGTTACAAAGAATTTTGAAAGATGTTATAAAACTAAGACAAAATTAACCACATAATTTAAAAAATAAAGGGATTATAAGAAAATACAATAAAATGTTAAAAGTTGATATTATTATAGTTTTATCTCTTTTTTACATATTTCATGTTTTTTATTGTAAATAATAAATACCCTTAAAATCATTAATGATTTTAAATTGTTGTTGACACACTTAAAAGACTTTAAAGAAAATTTAAATTTTTTTTTGGAAATAGGAAATTGGTATTTTATGGGACTCGTTGAAACTGATGAGCTGAATAACTCAAAGTTTTATATATACTGCCATAAAATTATGTATCTTTATAATTATAATTCTTAATTAAATAATTTCACTTGTGTGGGTGAAAACATGACAACTGAGAAAACCATGACTTGAAGAGGGACTTCAATTAAAACAACTGAAAGAAACACAAATAAAAAATAATCATCAATTGTTGACCAGCTTTGGAATACACTGAAGGAGACATATATGGAAAGTACACCTTTTGTCCACTTAGAAAAGAGCGCATTAAGGTGTGTTGTGTATATGCAACAACCCGCCATGATGAATGTAATCGCTATATACTGCAAATGCACTAATAAAAATAAACATTAAACAAGGAGAAAAAAGACGTCCAACATTAAGGTCCAAAAAGCAGGAACTTTTACATACCTCTTTTTCCAATATTCTAGCAATCTCACCCAGGGTTCGGTCCAAAGCTGAAATCTTGCTGTTTAACAATGAGCCGCTGTCTTGTACTTGCAGTTGTTTCAGAAGATCCTTGGCTAATCGCTGAAGCCTTGAATATAAAATGACAGGAAAGATTGATATTAATGAATTTGATCCTACATACTTCATTATTCTTTTTCTTAAACATCTGAAACGCAAGATGTTTTCAATATTGTATCTGAAACTGCTATTTGGAGCACTTGATTAGAGGAAGAGCAGACAATGCACAGGCAGACCCACTTTGTATTCAAAATCACGTCTACTCTTCGTGGCACAATACAGAACTAGAAGATAGTGTTATCTACCAGCAGGACTAGTTAAAACACTGATGCTCTCTGTTTTTGCATGAGCCTTAAATTAGAGAAGAATTGGGGATAAGGAGAAGGGGAAAGGATGATGACATTATAGGGGTGAAAAAGGAAACCCCCTACTTTGTTGGTGGGAATGTAAACTAGTACAATTATGGAAATCAGCATGGAGATTTTTCAAAGAACTAAAATGAGACATTCCTTGTGACCCACTTATTCTCCTTCTAGATATACTTCCCAAAGACTTTAAAACACTATATTATAGTGAAACATGCATTGTTTATACCAATACAATTTATAATAGCTAAATCCTTGCAAGTAGCCTGTAAACCCATCAACAGATGATTGGATAAAGAAAATGTGGTATCTATACATAATAGAGTATTACTAGGCTATAGAGAAGGACCAATCTGAAACATTTGCAGGAAAAGGGATACACCTAGAAAATACAATATTTAGTGAAATAAACCAGACACAAAACCTTGAATTCCGTATGGTATCTCTCATTTGAGTAAGGCAAAGTACAAACAAAGAGAATAATAAAGGATGGATAGAAGTGAACAGGAAATGGATCTCTTGCAAATGGAAAGGGGTCCAAGAGATCAAGGATGATAGTTGAGGGGGAGGGGAAACAAATAATTACAATAAAGATAAACATGTACAGGATCAATGGGTGTAACTATTATATAACATAAATAAGCTAAGATTAATAATATCAACAAGCATGGAAATGGAAAAAGTATTAAATGAAGAAGGAGGGTGGTAGGAGGGAAGGGGATTAAAAAAGCTAAGTTGTATTATGCACATGTACTCTCAAGATGACTGTAAACTGTATGTACTGAAAATATGTACAAATAAAAAATCCATTAAAAAAAGAATCAGAGCAGGTTTTTATATTCTCGGTTCCCAAGATGGGCTTTGTACATCCCCACCCTCTGCAAAACTCCATCCTTGTTTTTTTCCCTCTTGCTGTTCTCAGATCTTATACTTCATAGAGATAATCAAAGCCACAAAAAGAAGAAAAGTCTCACCTCCTATCACAAAATCTACATTTTTGCCCCTTCTCTCTTTTGCGTTTCCTATCATAATCCAGGAAGGCCCTGTCGCCTAAGCAGGGTTAATCCTGCTACACAGGCTCTGCAGTGCAAGAGGTCTCTCTGGATTTTAATTCCTCTTCTTCCTGCTTCTCAATTACCTAGAAAATTTCTATTAACCCTTCTGTTCTTAGAACAAATATTACTATTTGATTAATCCTTCAAAGCACTTGTTATCAGTGAATTACTTATCTATTTAAAATCTAAAATTTAAAATATTGTTCAACATGTGTTCCTTCCATGCAGTTTTCAAACTACACAGAAATGTTCATTACTTGCACTGTCTCAAATGGTAGCTGCTAGCTGTTAGTGACTAGCAAGCACTTGAAATATGATTAGTGTGACTGAGAAAATCAATTTTAAATTATACTAAATAGAATTATTTGAAACTATTTTAGACAGTGAGGAAACAGAGTATAAACTTCAGGAAAGAGGCTTCTTTTCTTTCTGACCACTGCTTCAGCCTTACCACCTGACATGTGACCTATACAGAAGTACATTCAATAGATATGCAACGAATAGTCTAGACATTTCTTTTTCAATCTTAACAGTATCCATAACAAGGTTACAAGATACTTTCATGTACTTATCTCCCACTAATATTATCTCTATTTGAAAAATGAAGAAACCACAGCCCAGCAAAGTGTGACTTCCTTCCCAAAGCCTCACAGTTGACAGAAGCTACTCCTGGGGTTGAACACTTCAACCTTTCATCTTTAAATCTCATGCTATGTCACCAGACCATATTAGTCAAGTCAATTAAGCATCATTCACAAATGAGTAAATTTCCTACCAGAAGAATAAAACAAACACAGCTCAAAGAGGTATTAATAAGCTCAAGTTCCACCTTACATTGTCCATATAAAGTATGGTACGTGAGACTACAAACCCTACAACCAGAAGTACTTATGCTTAAGTTCTGCTCTAGCACATATCTATGTACATGAATCCCTGGGAAGTTTTAACTTCTCTGTATCTCAGTTTCTTCATCTTAAAAGGGTTGAGGGTGAAAGGCACAGAATAGACAGGTATCTGTTTTCGGAGGTCTTGAAAGTCAGAGTCAAATACCATGCACTAAAGCAGATTTTCCATAAACTGCTTTAACTATTATCATTACTCATTAGCACAGGTCCTCAATCTAACAAAAGGGAAAAAAATAAAAATAATAACAATATACTTCTTTTTCCTTCTAATCAAATATGGGCTGAGGTCCCATCTGATTAAAACTATTGGCTTTATCATGTAGAAAAATACTGGCAAAGAAGTTCATTGTGCAATAGGTAAGCAGCCACTTCATCTTTCAGCTGAATAAAGTCTGCACACTACGTAACTAAATGACCAGCCACAGCAACAGAATCTAGCTATATTCTTACCAAGAATGCTCACATTCAACTGAAAACCAGTAGTACTTAGGCAAGCACAAGGAACATTTTAATTCACAATATAAAAGAGGCTTACATTTTCCCCTGAGGTAAATCAAATCTGGGGTTTAGATGAACCCACCTTCAAGGAAGAATGCCAAATCAAGGGGATGCTTTGGTAACATGAGATAAACTTTTGTCTCATTCCCTCCATCCACATAACTACCACAATATGGGCCTTCTCAAGGACAAGAAACATCAGATTTGGATTCATACTATAAAAAATTATAGAGTGCTACAGAAATTGAACTGAAAGCTCTATTTTCTCTACAGTGCAACATCAATACAATATCAAAAGAGTACAGTTTTTAACATAGAAATTGTTATTTGGTTACTGTTATTTGGCAGGTAATTTTTCTAGTATGAAAAGAAAAATGGAGGCTTCATGACTACTTGTCTAGATCATGAGAAGAATGTGTCAGGCTTTGTGGAGAATGTTGTAAGATCAGACATTTTCTTCTCAGAACTTAAACAAATTCCAACAATAATTCTAAGCTGTCACTGGTAAACATGAAATGTTAAAGGACCTCTCTAAGGAATATTAACTTTTATCATAGAAAAGTTTGGAAGGGAGGGATCCACTAGGATTACAAAGTTGATTTGTAAAAATATAAGAACAGAGACTGGGTCTACTCTAAAAACTAATAATTATTCTTACTGTAATAGCTAGGAGGACATATATACATTAACTTCTTTCCTTTGGCAGTTACACAAAATAAATTTAGGACTATTGGTTTCTTTTTTTTAAAACAATATGTTTGCAACACCATTTCTAAATGTAAGCTTAAGGAACAAGTAATACCTTTTGATGGTTCTGTGTAAGATGAAAAATAAATTAATGTATACTGCTCCCTACAGCACACCTATTTTATTTTTGCTACCGGCTTCCCTCTGTGTGGAAAAGTACAACATACAGTCCTACACTTAGACACATGTGCTAACTGTGCCCAGTGGTGTCAGAAGTCCTACTCTTAGACCCTCCTGATTGAAAAGTTGCATATGAACAACTTTACAAACCCAGAGACATATACATCTATGTTTACATATTAGAAATACATGTTAACATTGATACCTCAAAGTCCAATTCACTATCAGAATTTTTCTGTTCTCCTGATGGTATTTTTAACTCTTACACTCAAGCAGTGAATAACCTGCCTTTCACTATCCTTAATATATTTGCTTATTTCACCAATTCTTCAAAACACACGGCCTGTGCTATGCTGTTCTGGCTCTGCTGGCCAATTTGGGCTCGTATGTGGTCTTTGCCCTCTACTAGGTTTCTGGAACCCTCTGCCAAGCTGAGACTCCTCCTTCCATGGAGACTCTGTCTGCTCTGCTCTGACTCCACAGCAGGCCATAGGGTCCTCCCCATAATGACAGTCCCTTCCTTCTGCTTAGGATCTTGAACCTTCACATCAGGAAACCATACTGTTCCCTCCCTACTTGGGCTCTGAAACGGCATGAGACTGCTGCCTCACCTGATGGTCTCAGCACTGAATTTTTCTAAAAGGAGTACAGACAACTGGAGAGAAAGAAAAAAGGTTTCCGTTTAGGAGCTGGAATAATTTCATTTTTCAGTATTTTGATTGAATGGAAGGGTTCATACTTTCCAGGTCAGTGCTTTACTACTGAGCTACATTCTCAGTCCTTCAAGTTTTTTTTAAATTTGAGACAGAGTTGTGCTAAGTTTCCAGGCTGCTTCCAACTTGAGTTCCCTGCATTGCGTTTTAGAAGAGCTATAGTGACAGGTATGGGCCACTGTGACCAGCGCTACAATAATTTATATGGAGAAAATTCATCTACTATTCAGTTACCAAATTCATACAGAAAAGAGAAGAAAAAAATGTATAATTGTTTCCCTTTCTTTACGAGTTTTCAAAATAAGGACAAGGCTATTATCCCAATAGCATGCTTATTCCAGTACTTGGAAGGCAGGAGAATCATTTCAAGTTTGAGGCCAGCGTAGGTTGCATCATGAATTTAAGGCCAGCCTGAGCTACACAGCAAGATCCTGTTAAAAAAAAAAAAAAAAAACAAAAAACAGGCATGGTGGCACAAGCTTGTAATCCTAGCACTTGAAATGATGAGGCAGGAGGATCTCAGTGGGTTCAAGGCCAATCTGGGGTACCCAGTGAGTTCAAAGCTATCATGAACTATATAGTGAGACCCTGTTTGAAAAGCAAAACAAAACAAGGTTTCCTGTCTTTGAGGGTTTGTTTCAGAGAGCAAAACAAAACAAGGTTTCCT